ATTACTGTAATAGAAAAATACTCAAAGCAACTCTTTCTGACAATCTCTTGGTCAACAACAAAACAAACTGAACTACAAAAAAATGATATAGGAAAGCAATAAAGTGGACATCTAAATATTTATAGTACTATACAAATATACTTGCTGTCGACGAAACTTTGTATACGTGAAATACCGAGAAGCAGGCGTATAAACAACGAGTGAGTTGTGCCTTTAGGTCAAGCTTTTAGTGGACTCCTTCGCACTTTCGACATCCAAACCAAAAGAATATTTTAGGAGCAACATCACTGTGGGTCCCTAGACAGGAATACTAAGTAGAAACTGAGGAACTGGACTATACAACTGTAACTCTTACAAGAAGAACCTTACATATTTTCATTGGCCCACCACTTTTTTTCGAGGATTTTTTGTAAAAAGTGGGTGTTTCAGTTTACCTCCTTCAAAAGATCGATATCACGTGCACCAAAACAGTCAGTATTGTTTACTTTCTAAATCAGTACAACAGGACAACAAACACGTCAAGGCACGTGCCTCAAATATAACAATCTGATCAAACAATACTCTGAGACTACTATCGAGCAGTATTATACACGAACACTGTCTGCGCACATTGCTTTGGACACAATCATATTTGGACACTGTCCAATGTCCGTGTCCGCCACATGTCCAAAAATATAAATTGTCATTGGACACTGTCTCAGGGTATGTAGCGAACACAGGACGTCTGGCGAACATTATCCACTGGACATTGTTCAACGTCCAAGCATTTGATTGGTCCATCATATTTATTATTAACTAATCAAATTGTATTATCGTTATCGTTAACCCGGGATAAAATATATTTTATGCTTTAATTTATTTATCATTATGCCCAAATCATTTCTAGTGAAAAGTATAAAGAACGTTTATTAATGGATTGAACTAACAGGAAGATAAATACTTATCATTACGTTCAAATTATTTCATTCGCATTAATTTAGTCGGTAAAAATAAAAAACATTAATGTAGAATTAAAAGCAGAAAAGCAAGTTCACAAAAAAAGATCATAAATACTTACTTTCCATCACATCCAAATCATATTAATCGCATTAATCTAGCGGTGAGTATAAAGAATATTTATTAATAAATTGATTAAAAACAGCAAAACAAATTCCAAACAAGTTCACAAAAACATAAATACTTATCCAAATAATTTATTCGCATTAATTTAGCCAGCAAGTAAGAAGTGATTTAATTTTTTTTAAATTAATCATTTTTAATTTATAACTTTTTATTATTTAAATTAATTAAACTAAACTTTTTATTAATTAAACTAAACTTTTTATTAATTAAATTAAACTTTTTATTATTTATTTGTTTATTTATTTAAATTACCTTTTTTTTTTTTATTTAAATATATCATTTTTATTATTTTATATTTATTTTCTTTTTCGTCATTTTTTCAGTCAAAAATAATCCAGACAGGAAGATAAGTATTTGTTTTTTTGTATTTTTTTTTTCTTCTACTACCATTTGTTTCTCTTGTAAGTCACCGGGAAGTGTGAATAAAATCGGGGAATGGAATTCAGGCCAGGATACCAGATACGTACAATATATGATACGGTGGCAATCATTTCACCAACCGACAAGTTCATTTTACTACTATCTGTATTTTTTAAAGAAATAAATATGAATGTTCTTTATACTTATCTAAATAAGCGTGTATAAAAATATGAATAGATTTTTTACTTTTTGGCCAATAAGATTGTAGCAGACATTGGACAACGTCCGCCGAACATTGTCCAATGTCCAATCGTTTGATTGGGCGATTTATTTTGAGGCATTAAAAATTATGGCGGACTTTGGACAATGTCTGCTGGACACTGTCCAATATCTAAGTATTTGATTGGTCGATCTAATAAAAACATTGGACAATGTCCGCTGGATATTGTCTATCTTTGGATATAGATACGGACATCCGGTCCGGTCCGGTCCATGTCCGCGTCTGTGTCCAATGACAATACTGCTATCGAGTACTGACCTCCCTATACAATTCTGGTCGAAGAAGTTTCCTACTGAGTTTTCACTTAAATATACTATTTAGATAAATTTTAGAGTAGGGACTAGTTTATTTAGTAGTATGTAATTTTTTAAAGCTTTTCACAGGCTTATAATAGTGACATTAGGATAGACAAATTTCTTTTTGTTTTATTTTTTCTCTTTTTTTGTTTCACCTTTTTCTTTCTTGCTTGTATATTTTAACATGATCTCCTATACCTCTGTGTTTTTCTCCTTTCGTTAGTATTTTTGTATTTGGCTACTTAATGAAGCATGCAGCTGCTATAGCTCATGATTGGAAGGTACAAATCCTCAGTAAGTTGAGGATCCAATGTGAAGTTGATTGCTGCTAGGTAGGGTCGCACCTAGGCTATTGGCCGAGTGAGTCTTATTAGCATAGGAATTTAGTATAGAAACATTATTACCTCCTGTTATAATAGCTTCCTGGTACTTCCAATAAAAGCAATGAGGCAGAACCGCCAAATATAAAAAAAAAATAATAAAATAATACTAAAATAAAATAATAACTAATAAAATAAAACTGTTTTATAATATTTCTGTCTCCTTATAAAAATTTGCTCTGCAAATTCTTAATTAAAAACTAATACTCTCTATTAGTAAACTTAATAATGTGAATAACAGTAAAATATCAAGTTTGGTATAACAATTTTTTAGATTGAATACTAAAGATATATTAAAGACGAGTAGCTTCTTTTCAAATATTTTGAGTCTTTTAAGAGCCTTGAGATGCTTGGAGAAGTTCACAAATTTGTTGTTATTTGTTGGTCTGTTTCTGGATAATAAGATGTTTCTAGAATTTAGTTTTTGTTGATCACATGATTTTCACAATTCTCTTCTAATATTTTCTTGTTGTTTTTCTTCTATAAATTTGATGAAGTTATTAAAGTCTATATTTAGAAAATAATTATCTAATCTAAATATTGGTTTGGTATATTTGATCCAATTTCTGGTAAAAATCACAATAATATAATAATATCAATTCTATTATAAATTACAATAGAATATCTAGCTATAATTAAGCTATTGTTTGTAATAAGGAGTCCTTGTTCCATAGTACAAAAAAGTTATTTAAAGCGTCTATAATCTGAAGCTATATTTGTTATGAAGCAGAGGTTTCTATTTTTAAGTAGTTGGTTGAAAAATGATCAAATTAAGAAATAGAAATTTGAAATAAGTGTATTTTTATTTATAATTTCTATAGTGATCTAATCTAAATTAAAATAATTTTTGAAATGTTTGCTTGTATATCTAATATAAAGTGTCTTTATCTGCTATAGCCATCAAACAAGTTTTTGTTTACTTATATGCTTTGAGTTTACAATTCTAAAATAAAAATTCTACAATGTTCTAAGAATTAAAAATTCTTTGTCTGTTTATTCATCTTAAAAAGTGAGGTCACCAAACTTCATATACTAATTTGGCTAAAATTAGTTTCTATTTGTTTCAATTGTCTATAGATTTTCTATTCTAGTAATTACATTGTTAGTTGTAATTGTTTTTCTGCATATGTCATATGATCTTTTCATCCTGTCTAATTGTATTTTTCTATTATTTATTCCTTGATTTTTGGTATTCATCATATCTAAAATTTTCTATACACAGCTTTCTGGTCCTTATTTTCCCTTTTGTCTTTTCTTTTTTCTTGTTTTAAATTTTTCTAATATCTCGACTTTTTTTCTTGTAGCTTTATCAAAAAACTTTTGTCTTTTGTTTTGTCTGTTTCTTGTTGTCATTTTATTTTACTGTTATCCTAAAGGTGTATATACTTTTCTGGCTATATGCTAAGTCTTGTCTAATTTAGAAATATGGGGCTTGGCTGGTTATCTATTTTGATACGCTATGTAGTTGGTCCAAGTAGATATTTTCTCTTTATATTTTCCTTTTTTTTTTGATATCTGTGATCTCTTGTGCATGTAGATTAAGAACTTATTTCCATTAATATAGCAAGAATAGACCTTGCTTATTGTATTCTTGGGATAAGCACCTTGCTAATATATTTTTTTCTTTTTCTGTTTTAGTATATATACTTAGAAACAATAGTTTCTAATTAAGTTTTATTTCAGATGCCATGCCACGGTAAAGAAAGTTTGGTCCATAGTCATTTGGTTGCTCTTCACAACCAAGTACAGAACTTAGAAGCACAGACTGCAGTTAGAAATCTTCTAGCCTTTGAAGCAATCTAGGAAGAATATATAAGAGAATCCAGATATCAGCAATTGTTTGTCAAACAGAATAGTTTGTGAGTTCGAGTTGCAAATTCAAAGGATGAATTACAAGAGTTGAGACAAAATACGGCTAAACAAAATAGAAGTTTCTGTAATATTTTATAAATAAAATAAATAGAATAAATAAAATAAAATTTTAAATTTAATTGTAATAAAATTATAGAATTAATATGTTTGTACCTATAGAGTATACAAAATTTTTTTGTACCTTGTTTATCCATCATATGTTTATGCAACATTAAACCCTAGATACTAAGATCAATTGAAGATTAAATTATACATAGTATGATAGTAAATAAATTATGTAATATAATCAATTAAAAAGTATAAATAGTGAAGACTAAAGTAAAAAGTTAATTCTTTCTTGCAAAAAAATAAAGGCAAAAAGAGTTGATACTTTCTTTATATATATCTTATTTGTCTTGAAAATCTATATTAAATTTATCTTGTTTAGTCATATTAAATTTAATCTATTTAATCATTTAGATAACTACAGTAGTTTTGGATGTGATTTTTTTTACTACAATATGATTTTTCTTGCAACGTTTTATGAAAGCAATAGGTTATTTCAAACACTATTCTTTTTGCTTTATGAATATCTTACTTTCTTACTCATCTTAAACCTACATTAAATTTATTGTGTGAAATATTGTTTTATTACTTCAACCTTATAATTTTTCTTATAACATTTGATAAAAACAAAAGGTTATTTTAGAAATGGGTACTTGTCTCACGCATACCTTATTACTCTTAGAATCTGTGTTAAATTTTTGCATCTTACCTTACTCCTCTTGAAAACCTGTATTAAATTATCATGTATAATACCTTTTACTATTTAAACAACTTAGTCATTGTTTAATTACATGATTTTGTAAAATCTTGGCTTCTACAAAATAACTTTGTTTATAGATTGCTTTATAAGATCTTACATTTTAATAAAAAATAGATGATAATAATATCTTGGAATCTTTCGAAGAGCAGTTACTGGATATTACAACTTGGTAAGTTGAATCTTTATTAATTTGTTTTGAACTTAAGTGTAATAAATGTCAACTTACTATTTCAATTAATTAAAAACTCAAATTAAGTGATAAGAATTTGGATGAAAGAGTAGATACAAGTAATCAGAATTTTGATGAAAGAGTAGATGCAAGCAATCAGAATTTGGATGAAAGTGTAGATGCACCAAAAATTAGGCAAACATTCAACAATTGGGACAAATTGGATTGTTATATAATACTTTATGCCAAATCACAGAATTTTGTTAGTGTTAAACATGGTTTAGAATACAATAATAATGTTTGCTGAAGCTATTGATATGCATGTAAACATCAAGATTATAATGCTATGAAGAAAAAGACCTGTATTGCTGAAAATCAACAAAAACACAAAACAAACATACTGGATGCCATTGGCAGGTTCGAGCTAGTTATTCTAAAACAATGAGCATATTGAGCATAAATTCTCTTTGCTTAAATCATAATGATCATTCATTGAAAGATGAAACAAACAAGTTTGAGTAAAATACTATATATTCTCTAAAGAAATATTAAATGATATTAAATTTTAGACCGAAGCTGGTGATCTAAATATAAAAGCTCAGTATCAAATGCTAATAAAATGATATCCTGATATCTTTTTCTTGTATCAAAACCTTTTGAATGCTATACAAATATACAAATGACAAAGTCAAGTGGAATGTGAGTTAGCTGTTTTACTTAATTACTTTTTGGAACATAAAGCTAAAGACACCAGATGGATTGTAAATTGAAAAGTTGATCCTGTGAATAACTCTCTTATATCTTTATTCTAGATATCATCTGATCAACACAATTTGTATATACGATACCGGGATGTTATCCAGCACGATAATACTTATTTAACAAATCAGTTTAAAATATCATTAGGTTTTTTTGTTATAATGAATAATAATAATAGGTCTTGATTAGTAGGACAAGTTCTTATGAATGACAAAACTGCTAAGAGTTATAAATGGATGTTAGAAACTTTAATTACTAATATGAGAGTTGCACTATTAACAGTAATAACTGATAATGATCTTGCTATGAATGCTGCAATCGCTAATGGTTTACCTAGCATAATTCATATTCATTGCATATTCTACATTAGGCAGAATTTAATCAAAAACTTAAAAGACAAACTTGGAAATCAATATAACGAATTTTCTCAACAATGGTTTTATATATGCAACTCATTTTCTTATCAGCAATTTGATTATCTATCTAATAAACTTTTAACAAAATTCACTGATTCTGCTGCATATTTTAATCACTTTTTAATGAAAAAAAACATTGGGCACTCTGTTATATCTTTAAAGTGTTTGTTGCTGAAATGCAATCAATATAACGAGTTGAAAATCAAAATACTATTATTAAGAATTCAGTATATAGCAATACATCTTTAATCAACCTTTTAAAACATATCGATAAGCAAATTGGTCACGCATCTACTTTTATTTAATATAAAAACTGGATCTATTCTATAACAAGTTTTACACTTATACATGCTAGTTCAGAATTTTCACCTGATATTGACAGATAGATTTCTACTTATCTAACTTCTATTTTCTTATTTATGCAATGGCAGGAGATTGCACAAGCTATATAGTACATATTGCAGCTTATTAATAACTTTTAGGATTTAGATTTATAATTAGATTTTATTAAACAAATTAACTTAAATGAACAACCAGACTTAGATGAACAATTTGACTCTAATAAACAATCAAATTTGACTAAAACTTTTGATATTTTTGTTAAAGATGCTGTAGATACACCTACTATTTTATTTAAAAAACTTATACTATCTATAGAAGTTGAATCTGTTCTTAAAGTTTGGAAGGTTACTCAGCATTAGTATTCAAAATAAGCCAGCTTATCACAGCTTGCTGCAGCTTAAATAGCTTATCACGTGAAAATTCGAATTTATCATGTGATAAATTCAAACTTGTCACATGATAAATTTGAACTTGTTACATTTTGTATAACAAATTCAAACATATTACGTGATAAATTTAAATTTATTATGTGATAAGCCATTTAAGCCACAGCAAGCTATAATAAGCTAGCTTATTTTAAACACTACTTGGTATAGATACAATGTGAAAAATTATATCATATTGTTCAAAAATAATTCTCATTTATGCACATGCCTTGGTTTAGTATAATATGGTTTTGTTTATAAACACTTTCTTTATATTATATCTATATCTAATTATATTACATTTCATATTATATTGATATTAAGAAGATAGTATATTGACGAAAAGCAAATTAAGTCTGAATTACAAATATGAAAACATTCTTTTGTTATTGGATTGGGCAATAATAAAAATCCAAACACACCAGTTCATAAATAATCATTTCTCAATTTATTATTTTGTTTACTAAATATTTCTTTTGATGATATTTACACTAAAATTAACTATTGCAAAGTATATATAACTATTAGTGAATTATCAAAAAAAACTATTCAAACAGATTTAGATACCAGCTCTAATGCAATACAGAAACTTAAAAATTTTATAAATGGTTTTATTTCCAAATATACACCAAAAAAAAAGAAAGAGCAGTTTATAGAAAAAATATAAAACAATATGAAAATGAGAACAAAGCTACTTCAGATAGTAGTTCTAGTGATGATAATTTTGTAGCAGTTAAAGATCCAGTGGTTTATTCTAAAAGAGGTACTCCAAAAAAGAAAAAAATTAAGAAATTACACGAATTTGCAAGCACAAATAAGTCTAAACAAAGCTTAGAAGTGTGAAAGAATAGAAAGCCTACCCAATATCAACAATATCAAAATACTGGTCACAACAAGACCGGTTATGAAGCATAGCACAAACAGGAGGGTATTCTATATTTATATTAAATAGCCTGTTTCTTGCATTGATTATACGTAGTGTTATATTAATGGAATTACTGGGTATAAAGAAATGTGTTAATATATAATTCATATATAGATAATACTATATCAGCATATATGGTTAATATTTAAGATTACATATAGTTAATGAGACTCAAAATCTATCTTTTATACATATAAGCAATATTTCTGGGTTAGATCAATATTGTTATTTTATAGTTAGAGTTAGTTTGGATGGTTTATAAAAAATAAGTGCTGCAGAGCAAAAACCTATAACTGATTATAGTAAATCGTTATGATCAGTTACAGGTTTTCACTATACAATACACAAATATTGTTTAATGAATTTACATTACAACTATATGTACTTTTTTAATTTCTGTATTACATGTTTATTATATATTGTACATTTGCTGTTTATTCAATTTAATTGCTTAATTCTAATTGATATTATAAATGAATTGAAAGTCATACTTAGTAGAAAGTTCATATAAACTAATTTAAATATATAGATTACTAATTATAAATAGGTAGCAAACAGGACTATCTATTTGATAGTATACTGTATCAAGATAAGTATCTATATACTACTATTCTTGTTTATGATTGCATGTCATATAAATTGCTAATATATAAGAACTAACTTTTGTAGCCGCATATCAAGCTTTGCAGATGTAATCAAGAGAAACCAAAAACTGATTTCACAAGTAATACACACTTAATTAATTTTGCCATAAAGACATTATAAGGTGTTAGCATTAGAAGCTATCACTATAGGAGTAATATTAATTTCTGTTATTTTCTAATAGTATATCAAAGAGCAAACTAAGCATTTATGTCTTTTGCATGAGTTCACTATTTTCATTTAGATGTTTTTATATATGTACATGCCATAGTATATACATTTATATATATACATATGTATATATGTACATATTGCTAAAAAAATCTATATATATTGTTGAATCTCTCAAAACCGATATGTATATATATTAGTGTTGACTTTGATTTGAGAGGTTTAATGGTATTATATATTATACCGTATATGCTAGCAATGTGTTATATAATTGGTTAAATTATTATATAATATCTTATACAATAAATGCATTAATTAATATAAATATATGCAATATAAATATATATCATGTGATATAGGTATATATACTCTAGAGTATTTGTATATAACTCTAAATTTTTTTTTCCTTCGGCAATCCTGTTTACTTTATTATGGGAACAGACTATCATTCTTACATCGACATACGAAGAAATCTAAAATCTATAAGTATTCTAACCAAAGAGTAAACTCACACCCGGCATACCTTACAGATGCCGAAACATCCACTTGCGGTTAGGGCGAACCATTAAACTGCTGTGTCTTGCCTAGATGCAACCTGCCTAGCAACACTTGGCACTCCAGACTTATTTCCCCCAGATTCACC